GCCTAGTTTTTTTATTTTTAGTAGAGATGGGGTCTGCTCTTGGTCAAGTTGGTCTCAAATTCCAACTTCGAATATTTAATTAAATGTAAGAGTGGAATAAGGATATCTTTAGATGTCAGGATTCATAAATTTACAATCTATAAACTGTTTCTTAGGAAGTTATTCTTTTTTTTTTGTTTGTTTCAGACAGAATCTCATTTTGGTGCCCTGACTAATGTGCTCTGGCATTATAGCTCAGAGCAACTTCAAATTCTTGGGCTGAAGCAGTCCTCCTGCCTCATTTTTTCTATTTTTCGTAGAGATGAGGTCTTGCTCTTGCCATGCTGGTCCTCATCTCCTGAGCTCAAGCAATCTAGCTGCCTTGGTCTCCCAGAGTGCTAGGATACAGGTGTGAGCCAACTTGCCTGGCCTTAGGAAGTTATTCTAAGATCTACTCTAGAAAACTTAGCATGAGAGCATGAAAACAAACAAACAAACAAAGAAAGATTGAGACAGAATTCAGGTAACAAAGGACCCAACCTAGGAGAAAAAGCCAGAACGGTAGCTGAGGCAATCAGTCCAACTGAAATAGAGGATGGAGGACTAAGAGGAAGTTCTCTGGAGAGAAAAGGAAGTTCCATAGAGTAGATATAATGATGAAGAGCTGGTAAAAGCTCAAGGTTAAAGACATGGAGAGGAAGAAAATGATGAAGGTAATTAAGTAGAAGTTATAGGAAAAACAATAACCTAAGAATAAGACCAAGAAAGAATGGCAAAGGAATAGATAAGTAGGAAAATAGTAGGATAAGAGCAACAAAGAAGGCTCAAGAACAACAAAGAGGAAGGCAACCAGTAACTCCAGAGAAAACGTAAGAAGTCTACAAGACAGGCAAGGTCAGTTATGACATACACTAAATATCCTCTGGCATATTTTTGAGTCAAGGAGGATGTCAGAAAGGAGAATTCATTAGAGCATTCTCTCTTTTTTTTTGAGACAGAGCCTCAAGCTGTCCCCCTGGGTAGAGTGCTGTGGCATTACAGCTCACAGCAACCTCCAACTCCTGGGCTCAAGTGAGTC